GCCAGTTATGCAATAGTACCGGCCAAATTTTGCTTCTAATTCCAAAAAATGCATTGCAGGCTTTGGGTGAAGCGTGTTACAACTCACAAATGTGTTTAACTGTTTACTGTTTGACCTAGGAGAAGAGTGACAATTAGATTCAAAGTAGAACCATAGTAAATCGTGTCTGATCAACTAGGTACTTGTCTGTAATAAAAATCATTTTCAGAAACATCTTTGAATTTTGACAAAAGCAAGGGGGAGCATAAATGTAATAAAAATTCTAATTTCTAATTTCAATTGCCCTCTTACTGATAGATAAAAAGGACAGCTACCTAAAATTATAGCTTCTTATCACGTAATTTTCACGAGTAACTAAGTAATAATTTACATACTTATGCAGCTAATTATATAATTATATTGATTGCGCGCACGCATTAGATATTTCAAATCGTCCGCTTTCGATATTAAGTAAATAATTATAGCAACCTTCACAAATAAGATTTAGGTTTAATGCTTTGCAATAGAAAAAAATATTTTAATGACAATTTTTTTTTATCGTTTTAAACCGTTATAAATGTTTTTATTTAACGTCTACCAACTCGTGTAAACAACATACAATACTTAATCTTGGATTCAGAATAAAAATCCTACATCTGACACATGCCTCGGATATGTCCTTCGTTATGTTAAAATGTTACTAAAAATATTCCCATAGACATAAGTACTATTAGGAGTAATTCAGATTTACGAAGAGTCTAGAGATGGAAAATTGATGATACAGGCGTAGCCAAACCGTAGGTAAAGTGCGTATTTATGACTAGCTGTGCCAGTGACTTCGTCCGCGTAGAAAAGTTATTTTTGGCATCAAAATTTCCAAATAACCCACTGTTCGCTCCTACTAATTGCAGCGTGGTTTCTCAAATCGAAAAAATATTTTTTTCAATTGGAGCCAGTTATTTCTGAGATTAGCGCGTGTAGACAAACAAACTTTAGTTAACATAGCATTAGTATAGATTGACTTTTTAAATCCTATACCAGATGTAGGTTGTGTAACCAGATTAGCGAAGTAACAGAGTTAATGTTCGCCGAAGCTGGGTGTTTAATTCGTCAGTGAAAGCGCCCATTGTGGCTCGAGTTATGTAAAAAATCGCTTCAAACTTCTCTCGCATTGCGCAATAATTACTTATTATTTTAACGAGCTAGCCGATTGTATAGACAACAAATACAGCCAATTCTATTGTTGATGAATTACTGTTCTATTAAGTCGAGTTAACGAACAATTCACCACATTAGCCGAATTGGGATTTATTAACAGTGCCTATTATGATAAGAAATTATCGTTTGACATTAACCACTGCTAATACTGTTAAATTATAAATAAGACAACACTTACCTTAAAAGACTGACGAATTTAAATATGATATCGGTTACCGACAGTGTAAACATTAGTAAGGTCTAAAAACAAGTTTGTCTGTCTGTCTAAATAAAACGCGAAATTAGTAGTAATATTAGTTAATATATTTTAACTATGGTCCGACGTTGAGGATGCTTTTTTTTAATAAGTTTACTTATGTATTTTGCGTTTTAATACGTCAAAAGTTTTTTAAATATACATATGTACTACGCACGTAACCTACAGATAATAGTTAATACGTTAATTTTCATTATTATAATTCAAATACGGCAGGAGGTGCATTCATATCAAAGTAGAAACTAAATACAAAGTACCTCATATAAGTCTTAATAACCTTGCAAAACAAACTTTTCTCACGGGTAAATATAAAAAGTATTAAATTGAATGTGGTTACCATTATTGGCAAACGCCGTACATAGTTTTAGTCAATTAATATTTTTTATTTGTAAAATAACTTGTTAGTCTTTGAGTGGTTTATAAAAGTCTGTGGTGTGTAGTTTATGCTTTCGATCCGAAATTATGAGTAAGCTTCGTTAAAATTCTTAGGTCCTCGAAAAATACTAGAACCAAACTCATTTCTCGTCAAAATTTTAGGGGGAACAGGTAACGTGACTTTAGTCAATCTCTGATGCTGACAAGACATATTTTTTGTGACGTAACTTTAAACAAATATGCATCATTAAAAAATTATATTTTGCTTGTGATTTTTATGATTATAATATGAATGCTTAGATTACATTTTTTACCGTAAGCAAGTACCAGGTAAATAAAATCTTGATTACATTAGTTGTGTTTTTGTCTAACTTTATGCAGACAGGAAGATTTTATAACCGGTTGTCAAAGAGACCGTATAAGACGAGTGTGTACCGTAAATATTGTACGAAAATACTTTTGACCGCATAGGTCATGATCTGGGTAGACTTTTTATCTAGACTTTAAACACTGTTTTAACTGCGTTTGCAGGAACTATGTAAAAAGTTTCTAATAAAACGCCAACTGCTTGACATAAATGATTGTTTTATTACAAAAAACAATTCCACGACAAAACTCTGAAAGTTTACAAGTGATACATAAAAAATAATTTTAATATTTTTTCTTGTTAAACGCGTTGTTTTTCGTTAAGTACAAGAGGTTGTGGGTTCGAATCACGGGAAGTACAAATAGTTTTGAATTGGCAAGACACATAGGTCTACTTAACGACATTGAGTACATCCATGAAATCCTTAATGCGTAATAATGAGTTAGGCTAAAATTACATTGAGATCGAGAGGCGTAGGACTTAGTAGCTCAATTGGTACGCTTTGGAAGTCGGTTCAAATATCGCCCGACACCTTCTTTAAAAATTTATATTCGATTCTTTAACTTACATCGATCGATGAGAAATATAGAAATGTGTCTAGCCCATTCCACACATATGGAATGAAGTTTTCCATAATTTGTTTTAAGTAAACATCAAATACATAACCCTTTCTTTTGTAATATCGTTAAGAAACACGTCACCCAGTAGCGACGGATGATAACCCCGAATGTGTTGGGAATTTTAATTTATTTGCGAAGATTCTAACGGCAGATAAAGGTGACGAGTAACGGATTAGTGTGACCTCGCCTACGTTATTCAGGACTCTTCTTGGAGTTGAAGAGTTATAAATAAATTATCTTTACTTTACATCATGTATAATGTTTAAACCCAATTCTACTCTTTAGTTTGCCACCATCATACATGTAGATTCATTTTGTATTCTGTAACTCCAGGTAGAAATTATTTTGTTCTAAATTTTGTGTTGGATCGTTGTTTGCCTGTTTGTTAAATATTTATTGTCGGAGCGTGGTTTTTATACCGCAAAGCCTTCCTTAATAAACACTCTAACCAATACCAAAATATCTCTATTTCTTTGATTCGAAGCAGTAGTTTGTGAAATTAGCGCGTTAAAACAAACAACTTCTTCGGCTATGTAATATTTGTATAAATTAACAAAAAAAGCCTTGACGTGTATATACAATGTTTATAATATTTGCGTTTCGAACCGTTAAAAATATTTTGCCTAAAGAAAAGATATATGTATTGTATAGACGTAGAGATATAGAGTATATTAGCTAGTAAAGATTATAAGCAGTGTCTTTCCTAAACAAAAAACCGGCTCCAAATTTGTAGGTGCAATCTTGCAAGTAACTTTTGACATTGGAACGTGCCATCACTCCATCTGGCACTGACCAGAGCCGGGTACTGATACCATCAGACTCTTATCAATAACCAGAATGTTATCGCCTTTTCGAAGAAAGTATCAAAGTTGGAAAGTTGAGTTATTTGCAAATCACTGTGTTTTAGGTCTAATTAAATAGTATGTGTTTGGAGTAAGCAAGATGCGATGAAGTTAGTATGTTCGTCTAATGGTACCAATGTATTACTGATAATCTAATGGGTCGGAGGTTCGACTCCCACCGAGTCCAACATATTACCAATGAATTAAAATTCTATTGAAAAATGTATTTCGCCTTAACATGTTCTGTATAAATGGATCATAAATGATGTAAGGGTCTCGAATCAGTGTCCACGAAATGAAAAATTCGTGACCAAAACCCACTACGTTTGTCCACTATTAAAATTAAAATCTATATAATTTAAAAATCGAAAATAAATTGAAAAAAATTCGCTCGGTCAGGCTTGAACCGATATCGTCGCTTCCGTCTTTTCTACCATTGGCACGATATCCACATCCGGGGGGGGGAAAAATTTTTTAAATTAATTTTCGATTTTTAAATTATATATTGCCTTAATGTGCATACATAAATTAATAAAATCAAAAAAAAAATTAAATTGACGCCTTCCATATCTTAATGATGCTATAAAATAAATTGATTTAATGTCTTTAACAATGCTTAAGAATGTCTCTGACGGAGCTATCATTGTGAAACCTAATTGAATGCTTAGTTGAGATCGTTAAAATAAACAAAATGTCACGGTTCAAGCGCGAATGTTAATATCACTTAAGAATTATAATGTGTATTATATGCCAAGGATTCAGGTGATATATATTAGTTAAAATATCGCTAAGTCTAACTTCTAGGGCTTTTACTAAACTATAACTATTTAGTACCAATAAATAGTTATAGTTTAGTGCAGATTGTACATATTTAGTATTTCTTCGTATTAATAATGCTGAATCTCATAGGAGAGACGCTAAAGAGCGTTGTGTCGACTGACCACTACTAAGTTAGTGACGGTAATCCGGACCGACGGCTTACGTGCCCTTCTTGGTACGATGGTGATAAAAAAATCTACTTCCAAACTCTAGGCTGGTAGAAGTATCGTTCTTCCAAAAATTTCAATACTGACTTAATATTTCGTCCGATTCCAACTCTGTACCCTGGAATTTGAAGAGAGGACCACTAGACAGAGACAAAAAAGTGTAAATAACAAATACTTGAAAATTGTGTTTTAAAAATTATCGAAACTTATCTATATGTAGTATCTATGATTAAGTAATACATACTCTGTTAAAACTTAATGCAAATTTTCAAATTTCGAATACACCGGACAAACAAGTTGTTAGGAAAGGATATTTCTATTGCGAATTTCAACAACAGAGTATAAACCAACAACGACATGTTGTGGGTTGTTTATGCTCTGTGGGCGCGCCTTTTGTTCGAAGACAGACCTGCTGCCGTTCGCAACAGGTATTATATTGAAATTAATACAAGTGTATTGATTCTGTTGATTTATTCAAATCAGCTCATTCTTTCCATACATAGATTATGCGCAAGCGAGAGTGAAATGGTATTGTTGCTCGGCGGTAATCGATTGTTATGTTAATATTTATACTGGTTTCAGTCGCAAATTAGATCTAGAACGGCTGACGCGATGGGCTATAATGAACTGTCTAATGTCTTGAATTTTGTGTTAGTTAACGCGTTCGAACTACGTCATATACAAACTTACAGGATATTGAAAACAAAAATGACACAAACAGGACTAGAATCTGCTACTAACGTAGCATGCTATTACTAGTTGGTAGACAATTGTAACATATTAATTAAACCATTGAGATACAACACTTTAACGGTTTAAAACTTGATATATATTAGTTAAACTTATTTGAATATTATTTTTAACTTTGGCCCGACATTTTGGATGCTTTGCAGCAACCGTGGTCACGGGGAGACTAAAGATGGAGGATGTCTCTGACGTCAAAGTAAAAGCATCCGAAATGTCGGGCCGAAGTTAAAAATAATTTTCCAATAAGTTTAACTAATATATATCGCGTTTTAAACCGTTAAAGTATTTTATTTAAATGTGTACTACTCGCGTAAACTATAGACAGTATTTAAACCATTGAGATTGAAAATAACATCACAACACAGGCGAGGCGTGAACCGGCATTCATAGCGTTTCGTGCTGCTGCTCCAACCAGTTGAGGTACCGAGTCGCACATAGATAGGTATATACTGCTTTCGTTAGTCTTCCTGTCCGTTATGTAACGCGTTATGACATTTGCCGCTTATGTTATAATTTCTGTTAGGCGTCTGCAATGTACTTATTCATGTTATTATTATTGGGTGAACAAGTATGCAGTTCTATAAATTTAAATCACTTAAATATTACCAAGTATATAATTAAATTATTGTTTGATCAATGAAAATTATCATAATTACTATTTTAAGCGTTTTTCTGAATTAACTGTGACGTAATAGTAAGATATTCGAATCCGGGTACACCTAAAGCATAAATCATCCGGTCCAATTTAAATTAACGTAGATGCTATCGATTTTATTAATTCTGTTTTACAAAAAAAAAATAACGCTCTTTGTAAAATATTAGTGATGACTTGAAACATGCAAATTTATCGTTTGAAAATGTCACTCACAACGGCCGTGAACTTATTTGAAATTACGAAATCGTCTCTAGAACATCGAGATTGGCAACAAAGAGGGTTTGAAAATGGGACGAGTCAAATTTTGAAAACCTCTCCGTGTGGCGTGTTGTAATCACTAGTCACGACGATTTAGGCCTTATGTCTATGGTATTTAGAATCAAATAAGCGTGTACATAAATACACGTCCTTTTTGTCACTCATAATAGATGTATGTAATTGTGTTCTTAAGCACGTTGTCATTTGACTTGGAAAACAGTTGAAAGAATGTGCTTTGGTTATTTTTAAGGAATTCTTAAATGTTGTAATGCTGTCTTCACAGTGTTAACGGTAATTATTTGTTCGGCTTACATATTGTGTTGCGTTGTTGTGAAATATATTAGATACAAAAATCATTATACCAATTGAGCTACCGAGTCCACTGACTGAGAGCTGATTCGGTAGCTCAATTGGTAGAGCAACAGCACGAAACCCTGACGAAGCCGGTTCAAGTCCTTCCGAATCGAAAATTTTTTCAATCTATTTTCGATTTTAAATTATATCGCGCCTTCATGTGGAAAATAGTAAAGTTCTCAAACAAAAATCATTACTTACTCTCATTACAGTCACACTCTATTAATCAATGAAATACCATGAGTGTGGTAAACATTTTCCGGTTTGAATCCTGATACAGAAGTGCCCAATGAAACGAACACATAAATGTGTCCACCTTATCCAGGTTGCGAAAACAAAACTGCTCCGTGTGGGCCGTGGTCGCTTTCAATATTAGGGCTTTATTGCTTTGTCAAAATTCTATACCAAACTAATTTATAATTATTAAATAAGGTAGACAAAGATTTTTTATAAAAATAAACACACTTGATCGATGAGTAGATACAGCCTTTGCTTTATTACATTAATCGCTTTAAAAAGCGAAATGTATTAATTAAACTTATTTACAAATTATTTTACCTAAGGCCTGATTCGTCCCACCCCGTCACCGTTACGGATGCTTTGCAGCACTTTAGATATCACGTTTTAAACCGTTAGTTTTTTATTCATATATAATCTCGTACACTAGTAACAGTAGTATTAGTTGTAGTTTTACATTAAAAGCGTCACATTTAAATATTTCAACAACAGCGCCATCTATAGGCTGTATTATTAATCAATAATTTCACATTATTCTTCTAAGTCAGGATGTATAGTGTCATGCAAGAGTAATTTTCCCGTTGAATAGATTACATCACCCACGTGCTCTTACCGTAGTAATTGCAGATGGCTGTTTATAAAAAGAGCTATAAAAGACCTGACCGGCTCCGCTAGTCGCTGTAGACATAACGGGGTTGCGGCATTTCTATCGATGTTTCTATAGAACCTTTTTTTCTTCGTTATTATACCGACTGTTCATAGTTTTTTTATCTATGGTAGTTCTTAGTATTCGTTCGTTCACCCATCCCAGGTTTCCAGACGAAGACCAACATGTTTCAGAAAAATTATACATTAATAAGAAACTCGTTGAACCCGATGGGTATCGAACTCACGACCCCTTTTATTAGCCATACTTTCATTAGATCTACGAGCTCGTCAACTTAAATAGAATTTTGTGTCTGGCAAAAACTTTGCAATTTTCGTTTCATATATTTCGTCAAATTCTTCGTATTATGTATTTATTAAGAGTTACATACATATAATGTTACAGTAAAAAGCTATAGACATTGAAGAGTTAGTGCATGTAATTATAATAATTAATATCACACGCCGTAAACTCCAGACTTAAGAACTGTTTACCTTTAACACAAGCTTTCGATAGCAATTTGACATTAAAAACGATTGCTAACTTTGCAATTGTTTATCGATATATCGACTTCATCACATCCCTAGAGCGTCTTCAATATAGGTCAGTATACAGCAAACGGGACTAGTGTACGGCGTACACCTATTAAGATCCTATTACATAGATTCTTAGGGATGATTGATGACATTAAGTTACTTATAGATAATATTATGTATTGACCGACAAATCGATGTGAAGGTATAATCCCATTTAACTTCGGACTTAAGTAGTTCATTGAACTGTTTGTATATTTAAAGGCCGATTAATGTTAAAATATAAATATGTCACGACAATACGCGATGGTTATAAAACTAGCTGTACCCGCGACTTCGTCCGCGTGGAATAGTTATTTTGGTGGTTTAGTATCAAAATTATATCTGTTACCTGCGTCTTGCTAGATAATGTCAAAAGATAGACATATATTGTCGCAGAAGAATTTTCAAATACTGTCTAATATTTCTGTACACAAAATAAAACACTGTACGTTTAAACGCGATATTTAGAGAGTTTAACTAATATATATTTTTCAAGATAATTTTAAAAGAAATCATTGTTTTAAACATTTTTTTTGGTGTCTTTTACTGTTTTCGAAGCGTACACGCCGGAAATCTGCAATGAAATATATATATTTTCCCCGCTTTTTCCACATTTCCCACTGTTTCCTTGCTCCTATTGGTCGTGGCGTGATGTTTTATATAATAATTTTTCAAAACAAACCAGTAGTTCCTGCGCTAAGACTTAAGCTTTACAATATGAGTATAGATTCTCAATTTGTCTAGCATTACACCATTCAGTAAACCTATCAAAACTAACGACAAAACTTCCCATCCAGAGCTAACAAAGCATAATTTAGCCACGCTTCCTTCCGACCACTAACAATGTACGGCATTGAGGCCGGCATTGGATCGTATCTCAGATCTTACAGTTCCTCTCATTCATGTTGCATTGTCGGAGAAAGCAGATAGCTTTGTATTGGGTACAGGTGTTTCTAGATTAATGGAACTGGGAAGTTGGGAGCTCGTTACGATAACTAGACTATATTTTATTTACTTTCAAATGACAAAACAATATTTATTTGAAGATATAACAATATTTTTAAAATACTATTTAAATCTAATATATTTTAGAAATCTTGAAATCCAATGACGCAGTCCTTGTCTCTTTCCCAATTCCCAACACAGATATTTTGTGGCCCTTTCAGAGGCTGAGCTAACACAGTTTGTCGATCTATACTTACACACAAACACTTATACTTTTTATTTTAAAATTATAATAAACTATAGTCTTTAAAAAAAATAATAAAAACTGTATAGAAAAAAACGATCACAATCTGTGTGTGTGGTGGTGTGTGTGATCACAATGATCTAGTAAAACTTAAAGCTACAGATTATAAATAGTGTGCACTTATCTTACATACGAAAGCAAGTAGTTTAAACTTCGCTTGGTTGTTGCAGCCTAGGACCATTTGAATTGGCGACGGGGGGCGAGATGGTGTCCAGACGGCGGATATTGTCGCGTTCGCGTGATGACCTCTCTCAAGCGCTTGCGCAGGAAGAAGAAGAAGATGTCTGGTATCAGAAGGACAAATTATATAAGGTAAGAAATGTGTTGAATTTTTTTTCTTTCCCACTTTGTCAACGTGTAAGAACATGACAAGCCCTTCAGAATAAAAATGGAAAACAAAAGTGAAAATTTTACGAAAAAAAATATACCAAACAAATAACACAACATTGAGGGATTTAATTTAATTTAAAAAAACATATTCTTCCAAACAAATAGTTGTTTATTAAAATTTATATGATTAGATTAGAATCGTGGTGATTTGTACAATATTAATGAATTTGGTATTTCACTTCAATATAATATTTATAGTACATATTATATAAAGCATAGAACACCGCCAAAGTAAAAACTTGATTTCTTTTTAATAGCGAAGATTTCGCTCAAAAAATTCACCTCTCAACCAAGAAACCAGTTGTTAAGAAAGTCGATGTTTAAGACAGCACTTTTTGTAGACATTTCTATCATCCTTAGATATTTCTCTGAAATTGGCTGACAATTACAAAACTAGCGAAACTTAATGATCAACTTCTACATCATTACAGACATAACTTTAGCTTTACTTTTAAGCATCAATCAAGCCGTTACGACTCGGTTCACAAACAGTTAATACATTATTAGACGCTATGACAAATAAACGGGCTATTATAGAGAATACGATTAAAAAACTATTGTTAGTCACTGTTTGTGGAGCGAAAGCGGTTTCTAATCACCAACGACTATCATTTTCTTTGTGGTGCTTATCTTGGTTAAAATATACTTTTTATAAAGTGAGGGACTATTCTCAATTAGGAGACATAAACATGCACTGGCATAAACCGCAAGTTATGTCATTTTTTTAAACTAGCGACATTGTTAAACCCTTATAAATATACATAAATTTTAAACTGCGATCAAGCGATACAAACAAGACATTAATTTAATGATATTTTGAGTTTGGGTAGTATAATACTAAAAAATTTACTTTTATAAGCAAGTAATTTTACATTGAAATTTCAAATAAGAATATACGTAAAAATAAAAAATATATGAAAATAATTTTTATAAATAAGTAAAAAAAAACATTCTTAGACTTTTACATAATATTTTAAAAATTGTGTTTAGGTTAAGTAATATTACATCAATTATACAATTTTAATCTTAATCACAGACCTTGAAAATACTAGTTTTTTTTATTGGTTCAATCTACTTACAGTGCATATCGTTAGTTATTTAACTTTCAAAGTCGCACAAACAGTTAACAATTTCCTAAAGCAATTTCGTTACATAACTTATCCAACGAATGGTCTTGCCAAATTAATTTAATAAACACGAATGTCCCATAGTTGTTCGTGTTTATTACGTTTTCGCTTCCTTTGTCTAGCTGTTGCGTTTTTGTGAGCGTTTCCGACTACATACTTATTAGGGACGTGGGAACATGCAACGACGCAATTCTTTCGCCGCGTTACATTTAGCTTTGACTACTGTATTGAGTGGGTCCCATTGCCTAGTTCCTATTACTTTAATTACAAGAGGTCCATAATTCGAATCCCGGGGTAACGCAAAGAAAAGAAAGGGTCACAAAGGTCTCAGAAAAGTTCCTATGTAACATGGACTTTCTCTTGCAATTATAGTAATCAAAACATTTTAGAGGAACTCCATCTTCAGTCAATAGATATTATCCATAAAATAGTTCCACCGTTAGGTTAGGTTAGAATTGGGACTAATTTAATGCATTTTCTCTGGTAAGAAGAGTCCCCGAGAAAATTACCGGAAAACCTGACCACCTTGTGACATTTTTCATCGAGCAAGGGTCAAGGACATATGCCCTGTATACCACATAAGTGCATTAAAACGTAAAGGCAGGGATTAAAAATCTGGTTAACCTTTCAACGACCTCTGCAAGATGGCGTCACGTTAAAAGTTTAAATGTGGAACGAATTTACAATGACTGTAACTACGGTATAACTACTGTGTTTTCTTATCCTTAAGAGGCATAATGTTTTGTACCATATAAAAAACCAATAACATTATATGAATCGTAATTTCAGATTTAAGGAGACTATGTGATTAATTCCTGATTAGTTGTATATAATGATATTATAATAACTCTTATAAATATTAATAAATTATTTGAAATTATTTTGTGTTTTTAAGTGTCAAATAAAACAATATGTAATTTTTAACATTAAGTCAAAATTAATTCTTTCTCTGTTCGATTTCGTTTACAAATTAGGAATAAGCGAACATGATTTCACATTAAAAAGAATTTCACGGGCAAATTCGTTAACTCAACCCTCTTTTGTTGCTAAAACTTTCTTTTTACTATAAGCATAAAATCCCAATTGGATACGAGAGCGATATTCAATGAAAGTCGATAAAATTCGTGACAAATGTCAAAGTTGTAACGTTCGGGTCGAAATTTGACCGACTGCACTAGATTTTGTATAACAATAGCTACATCTTATCGTTAAAAATGTGACCTCTGTCCTTTGATCTATGTGGTATTTTCAGGTATCACGACTTCGTGTTGTTAAATATTACGTCAAAATACTAACCTTTCTTGCTTTAACTTTCTTGGAACACATTAGCTCTTGGCCTGTATTATACTATTATATTAAACAATAAAAAGTGAATAAAACTCAGTAATATTTCAACTTTAAGTTCTGTGAGCTATTTGAAAAGCTAAAATATTCTAGTAAATCAAATCTCGTGTCTAATTATATGTTACTTTCTTGATTTCTTTTATTTATAATAAATAAAAAAATATCTTTAAATCTTTTCATTTAAATGAATTGTATTTTTTCAATAATTGAAAGTCCTTGACGTGGCGGAACGGTATTTTACCTCCAATAAACTTACTTTTATATGTACCTCGATTCTTTCACAAATTACGGCCAATTTACCCTTATCGATACAGTTAAATGACCAAGCAGAATCGCCACAGATGATATTTTTTGATTGAGGCCCGTTCCAAAATTAAATTTCACGCGGCAAAATCCATTTTTGCCAACATGATGAAATGCAGGACATTGAAAATTACTCCTTAGTCATTTCTCAAAACCCCTGTCAACTTTCTTGTCAGTGAGCACGTTTTTACATTGTAACAATAAATAATGTCTTCAAAACTTTATAAATTAAGCTGTATATGAAATATACAAAATACTTAAATGAGTTAAAGGCCAATTTTATATCAGACAAAATATTATTTACTAGCTGTGCCAGAGACTTCGTCCGTGAGAATCCTTATTTTGGGCATCCAAATTAGGTTTTGCAAACCCCGTCATCTTTATAAACTTAAGCTGTTAATCACGACGTCGATGGCGTCCCTTCCCGTCGTTCTTGCAAGCTAATCTTAAAAGATAGACATATAGCGCGGACGGTTTTTTTTTATATTAGTTATCTTGAACCGTTTTCGCAGCGTACGCAACTGAAACCCACAGAGATGAAAAATTTCCCCCGTTTTGTTCACTTTTCACGCTGTATCTTCTATTAGTCACAGCGGGATGTTTTATAGTCTATAGCCTTTCTTGATTAATGTACTAACCAACACAAAAATAATTTTTCAATTCGAACTCGTAGTTCCTGAGATTAATGCGTTCAAACAAACAAACAAACTCTTCAGCTTTATATATTAGTATAGATGGGAAATTATAATCAATAGTAAAATTAAAAAGCAAAATCAAAGGACATATCCTGAAACAGGTAATGTGAGGGATCTAATTGTTTTAAAGTGGCTAATTATAGAGTTTAGCAGTCACAAAAAAAGTCGACTGAAAGACCTCTCACACTTAACTATAACGTCATGTGTTTTAACATGATGTCATTATCGAAAACTGAATATAATAAGTATCCAAAATTATAAAACTGCAGCTAACGTAATATGTAAAAATTCAAGTACTCATTAGCCCTAATTGATCGCAAAAATGTAATCAAACCAAAATATCTGTTTAAGAGTTTTAAACAAGTCACGAATGAGCTTGAACTGAGGTCTAGAACTGCTAATACCAAGGTCTGAAAGTGCAGCATTAAGAAATGACTTGATTAATACGAGGTCAGCGGATTCAAGACAAATGGTAAAAAAATCAAAATGATCCCTAATGATTGGACAGTTATCGTCTGATGGCGTGATACAGCAAATATTGCTTACGTACTAGCGAATTTCCCTGTCTTTGACTGACAAATTGGAATATTTCTTTTTTTTATTCTACTATTTTCATCTTCATTATTTCCAACGATGGTTTCATATTTTTTCATTTATATGTATTTTACTATAGTTAAACTTTATTGTCTCGTCTTGCGTTAGAAGAGTTGTAAGGTTCGACTTCCTGGTTATCACTAGAGTTTCGGTTGGGTAGATGGCTTTTAATTTGGTAGTAATCTTCTACATGCAAGTTACTTGAGACGACAGTTAATCAGAGAAACAAACAAAAAAATATATTGCCTGTAGTCGCATTTAACGATGTAAACCGCGAAATAATCGGATGTTTTGCAGCAGCACGACGGACTGAATATGAAGATGTCCCTAATTTCAGAGTATGACATTGGTTAACTAGAACGTTTTGCATTTTAAACCGTTAAAGGTGTTTTTTTAACATAGAAGTGTGCTTCCCTCATGGTCTACGAGAGAGAAACTTATGCATATACTGAAAAAATATCTTACGAATGCTTAAATTTTGTGACTTTTAATCTAGTAGTAAGTATTTTAGTTGAAACTAAATGCCTGGTGATATACTGACTAGGTATATAGCTAGTTAAAGTTAAAGACGTATAATGACGTTAAGTGTTACTCAATTCGCTATATCTAAATGGCATCTATGAAAATAAACGAAAATTTTCTCAGCACGGCAGGTGTTAAGCAACTTAGTTGAACGACGCTTGCGACACTTGGTGCCAATCATGCAACACGTGTCACTTGTAAACTAATCCCTTCATTTAAGGTTTGCACGAGAAGGAATATATGATGAATTACTAAAATATTTATTAGAAAACTTAATTATTTATGACAGTTGGAAACACAAAGTTTAACACATCTTTTGTTATAAAAAAAGAATTTA